GAACTTTAATGGGAACATGGGCTGATTCTTTGCAGCTGGACATGGGTGAAGCACCATTGGTGCTGACAGAGAGGACCATGTTGTTGAATTCCAGGATTTTACTCTCTCGCTTTTGTGGCACTGAGGTATGTAGCATCATTTCTACCAGCTATAAACTATTGCGCTGGCAAAGCAATGCAGTTGTTGACTTAATATGTTAGTTTGCTCGTGATGACTTCTATGCTGCATCTGATTATATGGCTTGTGGTTTGGCGTCATGCCGCGCTTGCAAAACTTCTATCAAAGAGTGCTGAGAGCAGTGATATCTGCAGAGATCTTCTGAGTCTGCTTTTCTAGCTCTAAAACAGGATACACTTTGCTTTCCTGATGTTGTCAGAAAAGATTGCTTGTGCACACTTCAGTTGCAAACAAATATTTCTACTTCTTTTTTTTTTTGTGTTTTGTATCTCTTTGCCATCTTTTCCTTCACACTTTCAAATGCAGACTGTGGTAAACAGCGATATTAGGAAGCTAGTGTTAAATCATTGCTGAATAAAACGCCAACAGAAGGTATATGCATCACTTATGTCTGTTCCCACACTGCATCCAGCTGGCATCATAGGGGCTACTGCCACGGGCAGCTCGGGCAGGGTCTTGGATTCCCTTCATTCCCATCCCTGGAACCGCTGCTGTTCCTGCATCCCTGATGTCTCTTTTTGGAGCGTGTCACCTGTGCTCTGAAGGGCAGGAAGGGAGGAGGGGAATTCTGCCATTAGAGGCACAGTATATTCATTTTCCTCAAGCAGAGAAGATGCTGGGAATGTAAATAAACTCACAGATGATGCAAGTGAGGGAGAGTTCAGCCGAGTTCACCACCAACAATGAAGTGGTTTTAGCATCGCTGACATTACAAGCCTATCAGTCAACAAACCCATGACATCTGAATATGCTGCATCATTTGGATTTCCACCCTGGCTCTTTTCTTTTCCACGCTAAATCTTCACAATTTCCCCCTGAGCACAAACAACAACTGGAGAGGAAAACAGAGGATGAATTGGAAAACACGAGAGAGAGAGGCCAAGGGCGAGGGACTGTCACTCGGAAGGCATGTTCCTTCTCTCGGACTGACACATTACAGGCACCGGTCCCAAACTCATTGCTGTAAGAGAAGCCATGTGTGCCACGGAGCTAGTCCGGAGCTCGGCCAGGAGTCCCTGGCTGTGCTGCAGCCGAGCTGTAAAGGGAGCAGAGACGAGCACTAAAGCAATAAATTCCCACATAGTCTTCATTCCACAGTGGGCTTGAATGAAATGAAACTGGGGCTTCATTTCTATGAATGAAAAGTACACAGGAAGAAATACACTGTAGGAGCACTTTCTGAGTGCAAAGCCACAGTATGTTTAAATTTATGGGGATGCACCTCAGCCGGTGAATATCTGGAGAAGCCTTCCAGGCTAAGTGGGTGCTGGCCAGCTGGACACTGGCCTGATTTCTTTTTGCTTTCGTCATATCTACTAGTTGATCAGTGGCAAGCGCACAACAGAGGCCTGGAACATGGCAAGCGATCAAATAAAACTGCACCAGGCAATAAAAAAAGCGAAGGAACATTTCTGAGAGTGAACACGCAAAGATGGATGAAATGGGTGGATACGAGGATTATATTTTTAAATACAGAGGTCTAAGGTAATTTTAAAATCTTCAAGCACTAGATTATTTCCTTTGTTTGCAGCCAGTCATAAATACCTGTGAAAATGATACAATGAGCTCTTATAATTATTTCCGAGTTTCATTTATCTGAGGAATATATGGTTATAAAAGAGGTAATAACAAGACTGTTTAAATATTCTATTGAAAAGAGCAAGAGTCGTACATTAATATCTCCCTTGGAGGTTTTGATTCTTTTGGAAAGAGCGACAATCATACGTTAATATCTCTCTCGGATATTTTCTTGGTTTCAGAAATCAGTGGGTTGAGCCATGGGGTTGCCACGCTCTACTCAAGAGAGTGACACAGGATCTTGGTCCATCCACATGCTTCTCCAACATCTGCAAGAAAAACTAGGAAAAAGACAAATTATGAGTATGTTGAAGACTATAACTTCTTTTGATAAAGCTTTAGAATGAATCTTAGATACAGAGATTATCAGTTATAGGTTTGTTAAAGTCACAGATGGGCGAGTGCTGATATATATATATATACCGTGCTGATAAACTATGAAAAAAAAAGAAATCTTTCAACCTAATATAAAAGACTATCTAAAGAGTATTGTTTTCTAAATCCCACTTATCAATCAAGAAATTAAATGATTCACCTCACTTTTCCTTCTCTTTGTGTTGTAAGAAAAATGACTGTAGGCTTAGAAAACATTGATAAGGCTATAAAGACAAATTGGACAAACAAGGAAGTGGAGAGGGCATTTATTCTTCTAAAATATTACCTCTGTGATCGACACCAATGCATTAACAAGTCTGAATTTCTGAGGGTCAGATGTGCACAGGGTGATAGATGTGAGAGTCTGTCAGGCCCTGGGACTGCTCAGGATCTCCACGCGTGTCCTCTGGGGCAGGTGGGATGCAGTGGGGACAGCAGGGCAGCACATGGAGCTGGACCAACTGCATTTCACTAATACATTTTAGATGTCTGAAGGTCTATCTTCATAACAGGCACTGGCAAGTCACGATTTCTTCACTGCTTCCTTGACTTGAGGGTACAAGGCTGAACCTGCAACTATTTCCATTCGTGGAGAGAATGATAAAATAATAGTTCATAGGAGCAGCCCTAAATACCTGTGCTTGAGTCTGACCCTTTTAGTGCTCTTTTCTGGAAGGAGAAAAAGAAAAAAAAAAAAGAAAGAAAAAAAGAAAAAAAGAAAACCACTTTTCCTAGCATGCAGTCTAATGGTCTTTGAGACCAGCCTGGTGATTTGGAAGCTGCTCTGGCTTTAGACCGAGCTGGGGCAGGGAGGCAGCCGCAGGGCTCTGCAGCATTACACGTGTGAACAGCGGCAGAGCAGGCAGCTGCGGAGCACAAAAGCATCTGCCGCTCTCACGGCAGAGACGTTATTGAATATCCCTGAGTCTGCCAAGCCCTGCGCTCGAGATGATGCCTTTCTGCTCCCCAGCACAGGAATCCATATGTCCCTATCTATCTATCACCAAGCAAGCGTCCAGCTCAGCCAGATTTATTAGTAACACTTAGCTCTGATATTGTTCTACCTCTCTTCCAAGGCACAAGAGTTCAATACTTCCTCCGGAATGTGCCAGTCTTCGTCTGGCAGCTGCTTCCTCATCGACACGAAGCAGAAAGGGATCATCCGATCTGATGCTCAGTAGGAACCCTGGAACACATGAGAAGCAGCTCTGGGGGACAGAAGACAGCTCTGTCAGTGAGAAGGCTGCCCTACTTTCATAGACTTATATAGCTTCATAAAGCAACTCCCATGCCTTAGTGAATATATGAACTCCCATGTCAGGCTTTTCCCATTTTCCAGCCTAATTTGGTGACTTATCCCATTACATACTTTCACACAAAACCTATCAGTGAATACAGTATGGAAACTGTATTGGTGACTACTTCAGCTTCTTCTCTTTGAGTTCACATTTTGCCCTTGGTGCCATCAGACAATAAGTTCTGCAGAGGAGGTTTTGGCAAGTCTGTGCCCAGCTAATGTCGCTCAGTGCAGACCTTAAGAGCTTTACTACAAAAGCCAGCAATCAGAGCTAAGTCCAACTGAAATTGCGCCAAAGTCCACAAAAATTTTATTCATGTCTTATCCGTAAGTAGAGTTTACTTTAAAACTAAGTCACAGTTAGAATGGAATAAATCAGCGTGTTCTGAAAAAAAACATCTTAACTGCAAATGGCAAAAAGGTTATATAAACCAAAGGAACATTTACATTAGGAGAGAGATTCAAAAAAAAAAAAATACAATAAGCCATTGTTAGTTACAAATCATCTTGGAAAGTAAATGCCAGTCACAGAATCTAATAGCACAGCCATACCAGGGCCTTATTCCCTGATACAATACCCAGAATACCTCCAAGCCTGGAACATTTGCCTTCAGCCTATTAATCTATCCTGACAATTCAAAGAATGACTCTTCAAACGGGTCCAAATAATTGTGTTACTCCCTAGTAAACTACAATAGGACATTGCATCAGGGAGGCTACAGCTGTAGTCTAGAAGTCTTTTAACCCTTAAAACTGGGCTAGAAATAATCTTAACTTAACAGACTTAGTGCAAAGCTAGATGTTGTGGTTGTAACTCTATTGCCAGCAGCTAGAGAGTGGGCCCCAGCTCCCTGTACCACTCTGCCTTCCATATGGAGACCAATGTGACAGAAAACAAACCACCACTGAAATCTTTGCTCTCATATATAGGCCAAAACATGACTATTAAGCAGAAGCTCTTTTCTATTTTGCTCTATATTTTGCTAAAATTGGTCCCAGGCCCTCCTCTGCATCCTTTTCCCTCTCATGTGTCTTTAGAAATGAGGCTGCTGCAGAGATTTATCAGGGCTGTCCCACACTATAGGTATGATTTCTGCTCAGCTCCCATGAGGCACCAGACCTGGAGCTATTCACCTGCATTAATAAATCAAGGATTTTTGTGAGTGGAATTTTCTGCTCTCTGTGACCCTGGGTAGAGCCCAGAAAAGCACTCTTATTGAGAGCAGGCCATCCACCTTCTTTAGGTATTGCCACGTGGAAGAGCTGCACCATGGCCTCAGGGTGACTGTTTCCCTGCACTGACTATAGAAAAGGAACCCAGATGATGAGACTGCATGGAGACATTAAGTATTAAACAAGACTAATTTGGCCATGGAGACTATAAGGAGAAGTGCCTGGGAGCTCCAAGGGGAGACCACGTTCCTCTCAAGACAAGGGTCAACACAGAGAGAGCAGAAAAATGGTTTACCCACGTGTCTGGTGGAGCAGGACATCACTAGAAGAATGAGTCTCTGCAGCACAGGAGGTACCGTGCAAGGGGTGAAAGAATGTGGCATTGAAATAAGACAGAGAAACGTTGCCAAGTGAGTTTATTGAATAAAAACTGTTTCAGGACATGGGAGGAAACAAGACAAGCTGAAGGAAACTTCTTAGGGAAGATCAGCCTGTTGGGAGTCACACAGAAGGCAGATTTTCTTCCTGAGCCGGACTCCAGTGCACTTCACTGTACTGAATGCTCAGCTCTTTGAGCATTCACTCAAAGAACTGAGTGCGAGGGCCTTGTTGCTCTCCCTGGGGAGAGAAAGAGAAGTGATGGGTGAGACAAAGAGCAAATTGAGCACAAAAGCCCTGTTCCTCATTCCATTAGCACAAGAAATGTTGACTTAAAGTTGTTTCAGGATGAAGAGTCTCAAAAATCTCAGCTACATTCTTTCATTATTATCACTAAAGGAAAGATAAAAGATTTCACACACCACCCAGAGTCCAGCTGCTCCATGAAATTTTTCCCATGCACTGATGTGCTTCTGGAAAAATAAATGTGTACCGATGCACATGAGTAAAATTGCTTTGAAGTTAAAACCAGGAAGCCATGTGTAGATCAAAAATAGCTCCTTCATACCTTCCTTTAAAAACAACCCATCTCCTTGCACAATTTATGGTACACCAGAAACATCCAGCATATGATCACAACCAGTCAGTCAAAACCACACTAAGGAAAGAAGCCTGCAGTTTCAGCAGATACAGGATATTACCAAGGAAAAGAAGGACTTATTTCTATACGTACAGGAAGGCATTGCAGAAGAGACATCTGTTTCCATATGTTTGGCCATCAGAGCCACAGTGTGGTAGATATTCCATAGTGCAAATAGGAGAGGGTTCCTGGAAGTCGCTACAATAGTCCTACAGACAGAAAAATGACAGAGATTTTGTGGCCTGCCTGAGAGCAATGTCAGTTCCCAGCAAGAGGAATGATACCACCCCAAAGACAAGACTCCGCCCGTGAGATCATGATAAGAATTGACTCCCAAAATTTCTTCCTGGTGGCAGGTATGATCTCACACTATTCTGCTCACTACCACACTCTTCCTTGTGCTGTTATGGAGCGACAGGATGGATGGTAGCTGACCGGCCACAACCAGAGGAAATTCCCAGGTGATCTCCTCAAGTCTGAACATAGTCCCCCCCAATTCGTAATGCAGAGCAGGCTGTAACAGACATGACCCCTGGTTTGCATTTTTTCTCACTCACTTTTACAGCATCTTTTGCACATTTTCCATCACTTCTTTTACCAATGTTGGTCCGATGAGCTCTGGAGGAAAAAAGATGCTGCTGTTAGTGTTGGTCTTGCCAGCTAGTGACTAACTCACCATTACAACCACTGTATGAGAGCACAGCCTAACTTGCATGCATCATACAAATGATTTTCAGACAAATCAGTTTAGCATCATCTGTGCCATGTTAGTGTGCAGTGTAATGGGCTGGGGCTGTGTCTTTGGGACAAGTGGTCCTGCCAGCTGATGTACACCCCATTGCAGAACTCAGAGCACTGGCCCATCTCAAACACCAGGCTAGGAAGCTGGGAAACAAGGCAGGCTGAAGGGACAGAAAGGGGACTCAGTGGCATTTGGCTCCCCAACCAACACAGTGCTTCAGACGCAGGCTTTGGCATACCGCTTGGCATTTGTGGGAGCCCATCCAACCTCATCAACCAGCCGCAGCCAATGTCCCGGGAGAAGGTGCCTACTTACAGATTGTGGGAGCACAGCATACACTCGCTGGCATAAGTGACACCATCAGTCCCGCAGACGGGTCTGTAGATCATGGTGCAGAGCATCAGATTCCTGCCATCATCCGTGGTGATGGAGCGGTACTTGCTGCAGTTGAGCTGGGAAGCAAACACAGCAAAACTCTGGTTCAGCCTCTGCTCTGCAAAACAGCACCCAGATGCCACCCCCCAGCTCATGTCCTTTGGGATCTGCCATAGGATAAATTAAGGTCATATATTAACTCGTTCTCCCATTGAGACCTGAGCAGAAGTAACAGGGCAATTTCCTTTCAGAGCCTTCAGCTGGAGAAGGCTGAAACGAGGTTGACGGGACATATCTCTCCCTCCACTTTGTATTTATTGTGCTGCCCTATACCTCACCGAGCCTGCCATGATATTGCAAAACGCAGCTCAGCAGCAATCTGCAAATCAACACGGAACGATTTATCCCCTGCCTACAAGGGAGCTGACCATGACCAAGACGTTTTTCACGGCCCACAAGAGTTGGGGGTGGGATGCGCCGACAGGCCTTTTGTTCCAATGGGCTGGCTCTGGCTGCCAAAATCCACCAGGAGAGCTGACGGCAGCTGAGGCTGATTCACACTGGTTGAAGAACCAGCATTTTAGCACCCCTAGTTTCTCCAGTGTGAGCTCTTCTTACTGATTTATGTGTCTCACCCGGTCGGAGCACAGGGTGTACTGGGGAAACAAAGGATGACATTTCATACTCTGTTTGTATAGAAATGAAATATCTGACTCGAGATGTTGACTCTTTGAAACACATGCTAATGAGACAGCTTTGTTTTGCTGTTTCCCAGTGGGTGTGAATCGTTTAGAGCTGGTCAAATATGGTTAATTTGGTATTTTTACAAGATTCATTGTTGGTATACGTTAGATTATGTTGCATTCGCAAGAAAAACAGAGAGGGTTTTGAATCCCCTCAGACATTAGGAATCAACATTCCAAACACACACACACTGATTTTCTAATCTTTGCAAAACATCCCTTTATAAAACTTAAGTCTCCAGAAAGGAGAAAGTACAGAGGCACCCTGGGGTCCTCTGTGTCCCCTTCCCATATTGCCAAAGCAGACAGCTAAGTTCCTCCTGCCACTGTGATAGACTGCTGTGGGAAAGGGATTTTTTTCCATTGTGCCTTAAATCATTTGTTACCCATCTCATAACTCATTCCTCACCTGTCCTCCTTCCTTTCTTCTTAAGACTCCAGGCAGGAAGTGCACAGTGTTCCTGCTATTAGGGGGCAGGTATTCACCCGTGCAAGGAAGGGCAGGGTGAGCTGTGTGACCTGGTGAAGGCCAGGCTGTCCAAACTAGCCAACACTTACTCAATCTATGCACTCAGCATCACCTAAAGCTCCCTTTTTTTTCCCCTTCCCCCCCTTTTTCTTTCTTTTTTCTTCTTTCCCCTTCCCCCCCTTTTTCTTTCTTTTTTTCTTCTTTCCCCTTCCCCCCCTTTTTCTTTCTTTTTTTCTTCTTTCCCCTTCCCCCCTTTTTCTTTCTTTTTTCCCCCCCTTTTTCTTTCTTTTCTTTTTTTCCCCCCCTTTTTCCTTTTTTTTTTTTTTTTTTTTTTTTTTCCCCTTTAAGTTTCACTTACTGGAGGAACCTCCTCAATGCATTTTCCATCATGCTTTTTGCCTACTTTGGTTCCCCGTTCCCTAGAAAAGAGAGAGAGAGAAGGGGCAGAGGGTAAGAAATCTCAGTGATGGACTCGCCCCGCTCTTAGTCCCAGCAGCAACTACGAAGATCATCCTGCAGAGGATCTCCAGGGCTTACAGGTTGTGGGCACACAAGGCACAGTCATTGCCGTAGGTGACGCCGTCCGTCCCACAGACCTCCTGCAGGATGAAGGGGCAGGCAGTGATTGCCTCTCCGGATTTGGTAGTCCCAGTCAGGTATCTGCTGCAGTCAACCTGGGGGGATAAAACAGAGAGCCAAGTCAGCCGCCGTGATACAAAAACACATCTCAGCTGCAGTCTGCCTGCTCTATTCTTCCAGACTTTAAAAGCTTCTGCTCGAGAAAAAAAACAGGGTTGTATTTTAATTTTAGGCTTCCTTTAGAAATGCAGTAAGTGATTTTAGTGGGCTTTGGTATTGTTTGCTGACAGAGGAAAGAAAAGCAGCATTGACAAAAATGATCATTTTCCCAGGCAAGCATCTATGCAATTTTGCGTGTCCTAAAGAAAATTAGCTAGGTTTTAAAACAAACATTTTGCCCAAGGAATTGGATTTAAAGGTTTTACGTTGAGTCTAGTTTGACATAGAATTAACTAAATCTGAGATTCAGTTTCAGTATTTTCGAAATAGCAGCAAGGACCATTTCATCCGATTTTGCTGTAAAAAGCTTTACAATATAGAAAAAGTGCCACTTCAAATATCGGAGGATAAACAGGCAGTGGAAGTCAGTTTATAACAGCTAAGCATCTGACCCTTCACTGTCATTTCGCATAGTTTCCCCAGTGCAGTGTCTCTTATCACCCAAATTTCTCACACGGTCCAAGGACAAATTAAAACAAAGATAACAGTGTCTTTATTATTCAAATCATATTGCATTCCCTCCGGGTGCATGAATTTATTTTCTGTGCTTTAGCGCTGTTCTGCGTATGCAGAATAAATGCATAGAGATATTATCAGCATGTATTGTTGCTGCGGATGTTTATAAAGCTATTTCTGTATCTGAAACTAGGAGCAGAGGTTTCATGGCTATCTGGAGCACGAGGGTTACTGCAATGCAAATCCTAAAACTGAGGGAATGCACTGATATCTAACAGGGTCTTCTGCCTTCTTTTCCTATCATCCTAAAATAGGCTGCCCTATTCTTGGGCTGCTTCTAACAATTTGTGTTCAGAGCTCTGCAGCACTGGGACAGTTTGTTTCTGAAGTGCTGGGCTCTTGTTGTTCCCTCTCGCCTCGATGTACATGCAGTACGTTGGCAGCAGCTGCTAGGGGACAATGCAGCGCCAGCACGGGGCTGTGCAGCAGCACTCCATGCGTTTGGGAAGACAGAGAGCTCGGCAAAGTCAGCCCCAGTGCTTCTGGAGGCTGTAAAGAGAGCAGACTATCACCCTTGTTTTACATCTATTTGGACTTACTGGGAGAGATTTAGTCTTGCATCTTCCATCATGGCTCTTCTTAACATCAGTTCCATGGTCCCTGGAAAGGCAGAGGTTGGTGTTAGCACACTCACCAAGCAAGCCTCAGGACACACAGCCATCATAAAAACTAGGCCTAATTCATGATCTATGTAAATGACACAGGAAGCATCCACTGCCTAGATAGCTACCTGCTCCCTGTCCTTAGCAAGGTAGTAACAGATATATTGGGTGTCCTCACACTGTGCAGGTAGCAGTCCTATTCACCATTCCACTGCCCAGCCCTCACAGGATGCATGGGTTGACATTCGGCTCTTGCATAGCTCCCCTCACGTGCACAAAAAGATGGTCAGGGGACAAAATCAAGGCAGTGGGTCTTTAGGAGATTGACAGATGAATAGAAATACATTTGTAGGCACACTGATATTAAGAGAAGGGCTGTCTGGAGCACTAGCCATGGCTAGTCACTCCAAAGGGAAGTCCTGTGTGTAGTACTTACAGGTTATGGGCACAGATGCCACACTCATTGTCATAAGAAAATCCATCAGAGCCACAGACTGGGAGGAGAATCTTCGGACAGGCTATCCGGGCTCTGCCATCCTTAGTTGCTTTTGATGGATATTGACTGCAGTCAAGCTACAAAAGCAAAAACATCATCGCTGAAGGAGTATGTCTTTTCTGAGACAAAACCTCACAATCTCCTGTTTTTCTAGATGTCTTTTATACTTGGATCTCAAGACAACTTTGATGTTACATTTCAGCTCTTTCAAAACCAGCCTGAATCAGCTTTACATGAACCCCGTCATGCACACAAAGAACTGTACAGTGCTGCATAATCTGAGACATCCAAGCAGCTAGGTAAATCCCAAAAGCTGCCCCACTTTACTTCTGACTACACCTGAGCGAGAGCATTTGCAATGTAGGTCAGAAAACTGAAAAGTACAATCTCATGACATCCTGTACTATAGAAATCAAAAACAAAGAAACAATGACCAAGAACCAAATAAAAGTGAAGCAAAATGGATTTTGCTGATAATGCAATTGAAGATCATCCTCAAAGACATGCAATCAAACAGACCAGCTTCCACATTTACATTCTGGCATCTCTGGGACCTCTCGGTGACTGTGCCTGGAGCAAAACTTCAGGTGTGCTCTGTACACCAGAATATACCCCCACTCCAAAGGCTGGCGTAGGCGTGAATTTGTAACGCAGACTCTGTGCCTAGCACAGCGGCTCACATGCAGCCCATCTGCCATGGCTGTGTAGGCAAGGCAGGCCCAGATGACACCTGCCTCAAGACAGATGGGATTTGTAGGCGTCCTGAGCACAGGGGGTTCACAGGGCTTAGTGGACATGTGGAGAAAGCCAGGCTTCAGGCCAGCTCACTTTCAGAGTAGAGGTAGCCTCAGGGAATCTTTCGGTTAATATAGGCAAAAGGATAAATATGCATTATATTGTACTCACTTCAGGAGAAGGAACAGTCTGTTTGCAATTTCCAGCATGCTTTTTGCCAACGTGGGATCTGTGCTTTCTGGAAGAAGACAGTGAAGTTGAAGAACTTAATGCTTAATCTCCTGGTCACATTCAGATGCACAAGGAATCAGATCTAGCAGATACCTGACAAATTAAGGTTTCAACCTCTACAGAAGTGTATGAAAATAACTACATTAGTCTACTTGTTAACAAGCTTGTCGTATCTTCTAAAACCATATAATTTAAGGTGAGATTCTAGACTGTTCCTTCATCTGCTTAGGTACTGGCCAGTTGACAGACTAATCCAGAGCACTGCCATCGGATTCTTCCAACTTTCCTCCCTCATGAGCACAAAAAGGAAAGCAGAAGAAAATTCAAGCTAGACCCCCAAATAAGTTTCTAAGAGGCTTGAAGGAATAAGCATAAGAAGTATGAAAGGACTGTTACCAGCACTTAGAGCTGCTAGTAACTTAGAAGGAATGTTCTGTGTACAGCACTTACCCATTATGGGCACATATCTCACACTCATTAGCATATGTAGAACCATCTGTGCCACAAACTGGATCCAGGATCCTGGGACAGGATACTAATGTTTCACCATCTTCAGTGACTTGTGTTGGGTACTGGCTGCAATCAATCTATCAAAATAAAGAAAATTGCATCCCATAGAGCCATTATTACATGAGAAAAGTCTATGCAAAACCTCTGTTCTGTATCCCAGCCTGCATAGTTTCTGCAACAGGTCAACGCCATGATACTCGAGCTAAAATTTCTATGAGAAATGGATTTTCTGAATGGATATCCTAGTTATCTAGGAGTGGAGAGAAAGGACCCATCTTTGAGAAAGGAAGGTTCAGATAAAAGGAACATACAAAACTTCAGGCCCGTTCTCATCAACAAAATTCTCTCAAGTTTGGTGGGAATTATTTTCCACCAGCTAGAATTTCCCCTAGTAGTGTTGTATTTTTGTATTTTGGGCTGTTTTTTTCTCCTTTTCTCCTGTGCTGTGATTTCATATAGTTATGCAATGAGATTTGAAAGGATGAAAAAGAAATGGTTATCTATCAGTTGGGAAATAGAGTTTCTAAATCCCCCGTTTTTTGTTCTGATATATATAAGCTTTTCTTCCTGAAGCACCAGGCTGTTCTGCCTCATGTAGAACTAATTATAAATATACAATAAGCTAGACCCTATAAATATGTATGCTTAGTGCTCTTATGAGTTTCACTATGCCTGCGAAAAACTAGCATGGGATTTCTGTGTCCCCATTGCAAAGGGTGGAGAAACTTGTGATGTTCTGGAATAAAACAGCCAGCCTACACAACATACTGGAAAACCCAGCACCCCACGAGCTGAACACACTGGTCTCTTGGGGCTCCCTTTTTCCTGGGCACAAAAGCCAACTCAGTATGAAGGGAAGCAGACTCTGCAGCACTGGTCATTACAGCTTCTCATTTCATAGCAAATGTTTCCTTTGTCCTTTCGGTGGGTTTTGAGTGGAGTGACCCTTTCTTCTAGGTCAAGAAGAATGCAAAATCCATGCTTACTTGCGGAAAGCCAGCTCCAAGGCTGGGCTCCCTGTAGGCCTGTCATACGGCACTTCTACAATCTCCTAGTCAGAGTCAGGGAAGTCAGTGGCCTTCTCTCTACTAACAGCAGTAAGAGGTGAATTTTTGCTTTTATTGCACTTACCGGGGTAGTCTCTTCCTCGCAAGGCCCATCATGCTTTTTACTGATGTTAGCTTGATGTTCTCTGGGGGAAAAAAGAAAAAAAAAGGAAAAGGAAAAGAGAGATGCTCTGGTTAGGGAGCTCTGACCATCACTTTTTACATTATAGTCTAGACTCAGGGACAAGAAAGCAGGTCCTACCCACTGTATGGGATGACATAACTGTGTGAGTTCAATCTGAATAACCCAGAGGATGGTAGCAGTCACTCTTTGAGCAGCAAACACGGTATTTCCTTATCCTGCAGTATTATGGATACTATTCTAATGGGTTCCTGGCTCTTCTCTGTGTCATCCTCTGGCTCTTTCACGATTCCACACATGAGCACAGAGGTTCAGAAAGAAGCCTCAGGCTGGCTGAGAAAATTGCAAACAGATAGTTCCAAAGAGACCTACTGAGAACCCAGACTGAAGAAAGACTCGTGTTTTAAAGGAATACTTCAAAGAGCCTTAAATACACCTAATTGTCCAGAAAGGAGGTGCTATGCATACTACTTACACATTGTAGGCACAGATCTCGCATTCATTGCTGTAAGTGGAGCTGTCAGAGCCACAGACTGGTTTCATTATCCTTGGACAGGCTACAAGGACTTGGTCACCTTTTGTCATACTATGGTATCTACTGCAGTCAATCTGTAAAAAATAACAGTAAGAGAACAAAATTCACCTTTATATAAAGAAATAAGGATCCTTTATTGGATTTTTACTTTATCCTGGCCTTTGGGGCTCCAAAATCTGTGGGAATTCTCTCTTACTGAAGAAAAGGACATAGTAAGAACTGCTCATTCTGACTTTACGAGGCTCTTGATGAGGTACTACTGCAACTAACTGGGCTGTAAGATCCAGTCTTCAGCCAACATGCCATTTCCATTTTATTCCTGAGTCCAGAAACTAGGAGTCTGTACTAGAAAACTAGAGAGACCTAGTACTATATGGCACATAAAACCTTCAGAAACTTGGCTACGATCAGTTTTTATATTCCTTTTGGACTGCACTCCTCTTACTTGGCGGCTAGACTCTTCTGCAGCCAACAGGCATTTTCCATGGACATCAGCTGTTCAAATCTTACTTTAAGATTTTATGTTCCTATTGCACTTACCCGAATAGGTTTCTGCTCACATTCTCCATCATGCTGTTTGCCAACATGGGCTCTGTGTTCCCTGGAAGAAGACAACTTGTATCAGGGACTGTTAAGAGCAGCTATCACTTCCAGAGCAGAGGTGTCAATGCCCAGGTGCTCACTCCTATGCTCCTCCATGCCTTTTGGCAATGTAGCTGCCACTCTTGTCTCTAATCAACTGTCCTGCTTCCAGTGGGCCAGATTTGCTCTTGTGCAGAAGGGATCAGCCTGTTCCTCCTGCAGCCCCATTGCTGCCACCCAGCACGACAGCCCTGGGAAGCAGAGACCTAAGTGCTGTGGCTGCTCAGGGCAAACCTGCTCCCAAGGGACTTCAGGAAGCCTATGAAGAAATGCTGATATTTCAAGGACGGCCGTGTTTCGAGGTCCCACCACGGCGCAGCGCTGCCCGCTCGCTGCGTACTCACCTGTTGTGGAGGCAGATGCCGCATTCGTTGCTGTAGGTGATGTCGTCGGTGCCGCACACGGGCGCGTAGTTCCTGGGGCAGGCTACCCAGGCGATGCCATCCTTGGTGGTGCCTTTGGGGTACTGGCTGCAGTCGACCTGCGCGGGTGGCACGTGGCCATCAGCGCAGGCTGCAGCACCCACGGTCACCCCTTCCCTGGGCCAGCTCCCCCAGAAACAGCCCGTGCAGCTCCAGCTAGAGACACAGTCCCACAGCCCTCCCAGCAGCTGGGAGGAACAAACCTCCCCTGCAAAATTCCTAACGAGGCTTCCTCACAGGGCAATGTGGGGCATGGAGCAAGGCTGGCTAAGGGGGAGGCACCAGCCTAACGAAGGTGCTGGGTAATTGGGAGCCTGGCCTTTCCCCGGAGCCCCCGAGCACCCAAGCTCAGAGGATTCCCAGGCATGCAGCAGTCTCCAGGGAGCAGCCGGAGTCTCTGCGTTCATAACTGCGTGGGCACAACCTGCAGACAAATCTATTGCACAGTCCCTGCTGTTTTCGTCGCTAAGTAGATGTACGTAAAGCCTGTTCAAGGGACAATTCTATTAGTATCACTGTATAGAAAAAATACCTGCATTGTGGTCTTTGATGCTATCAGGCATCACCTTAGGTTAATTTCCCTCTCGAGGCAGTAACCTACTGCTTTTGACTGCAGGAGTAGATAGAACTGTTATATCTAAGAATTAACATAATAGAATTGTCTAATTACTAATTGCTTTCTTCTATTTATTGAGCTGAAAACAGTGTAAAAGTGATAGGTGTTCTATTTCCTCATGAAATTGGCAGTATTTTCCAGTCATGCACCAGCAAATATTGTTCAAACAGCCAAGCTTTCATTAGATTTAATCTACATTTTCATCAGGTGGTTAACATATAATTGCTATTTTACCAGAGAATAGGAATAGAGCAGAATAAAAGGAAAGATCCGTAACTCACCTCAACTCCAAAGACAGTATCTGAAAAAAGAAAAGACAAAATAAAATACAGAGATCACATATGTGAATACCAAAATCCGGTGAATACTGACTTATTGCATTTAGGAAAATATGAAGTTTTGCATCATGCCAGTAGATGATCATAGGGTGTATTAATACAGTTTTATTGTACTTATGAGGGGAGACAAAATAGGAGAACCCATAAGTTAATCAATTTCTAAGAAGCTATAGGGAAATGATACAGATAATTTAAATTGTGCATTTTTATAGCTCAAAGTTTTCTAAATGAGTTTATATCTGACATTGAGCAGTCAGAGGACGTGCATAGTTAAGATGACTGTTGACCGCTGAAAGGGTCCATCTCCAGCCACGTGCTTCTCAACTTCATGGAAAAACACTGCAATCTTTCAGTTAAAGTTCACATTTTCATTACTTACCCAGAAAAAAAAAAAGGTAACATTTATTTTGTCTTTATATCTAATACTTCCATATATAAATTCCTGTCCTATATTAGAACTACTCCTTCAATCCTTTGCCTTCTCAAGAAGATGAGAACAGTTGTCTGTATAAGGCTTGCTGAAATTGCGGTCTAATTTTCTGCTATGCTTTCTCAGGCAGAATATTTCTTCTTAGAATTAGATTCTCCCCCGTTTTATGGGACTCAAACACTTTACTAGGAACCTGTCCCTGGCGCAGCTGCAGAGATGAGAGCAGCATCACGGGAATTACTCACCTAAGAAGCAGCACAGGGCAAGAGCCACCTGCACAAAGCTTCCCATGAGCTTCATGGTTCACAGCAGTGCCGCGTCCGCGCAGGCTGCGAGCGTGCCGTGTAGGAGGCGAAGTTCACAAGGAGGAGTATATAATACCCTATACTATCAAATGGTCCCACCTTATTATGTAAGGCTCCAAACTTGTCATCAGCTCTGAAAGCCAGACTATATTTACCCAGATCGGGATTTCTGGCTAATGATTGACACAGGAGTAAATGCCAGGAAGGGGCCTTCGGTGCAGCCAGATGCTTGAGGGGAAGCAAAGGCAGGACCAGGTTGTCTTCCTCCTGGCTCTGCCTGCCCTGCCCTATGACCACAGTCCTCCTTGCCCAGCCATGGCACAGCCCAGGCTTATATTTATCCTGGGGCTTTCTGAACACAATTAGGTCTTTCTCCTCCTCTGTAGTTTTCCATTGAGTTCCCAGCTGATAGCTGAAAAACCTCATTATTAAACCTCACAGCATGATTTTTGCACTTTTCACCGCTGTATTTCATCCTGGTTTGAGTCCGGACACTTTCAGTCCACAAGGTCACCCAGTTCTCTGCTGGAGAAATCCTGCTTTTTTTTTTTTTTCTCCTGTTTTAAAAACTCAGCAGTGGTCTGTTCTGTGTGTCAACTTTTTCCTCTACTGAGGAAAGTAGCAAAAATATTAAGTTTGATCCCCCATATCATCCCTTTGGCTGTTCACTGACAACTTCGCTCTAGATTCACAGTATCCCCTGCTCCCGCACTATCATCTCTCCTGTAGCCAGTGCCTCATCCGCCTCTCCAAGCCTGACTGACAGCATCCCACAGGGCAGCAGGTCAAAAGCTTTGAAGTTCAGGTACACTAGATCTACTGTATTCCTTTTATCTAGGAAGCCAGCCAAGTTTGTAAAGATTCGTATCAGCCTATGCATGATTTCCTTCGGAAAACTCACAGCGCACATTATCCGCTTGCACTTTATGTATTTATTTTCCTTCAAATTCCCCCTGAAGGCTTGCCCAATATTAAAGTGACAGAGCTGGGATTGGTCCTGACCACCGTTGCTCCTTTTGTAAACAGAGCTGTGCCAGCTGGTGTTCTCTGGTCACTTGGGACTGCACATATATTCAGGAGATATTTATGAAACAGCATAACTACTGGACCGGCAGGTTTATGGGATAGCTCTTTCAGGGCTCCACAATGGACAGTGTCTTTGACAGCATCTTTTCCCACCTTGAGTAAATTAAGGAGAGCTTTGCTTCCAGCTTTAGATGTGGTGCTTGCATTTCCTTAATCTTGTTCTCATAATTACTCCGCCAATACTGGTGTAAAGCACCTGTCTCTCCAAGTTGGAACTATAGATAGATTATGCTTTGTTCCTACTGTGTCTTTGAAGAGCAGAGTCCTTGCAGAGTCCTTCTTGTCCTTGCATTCTCACAGGTGATCTCTGCTGCATGTGTGATTTCCCTCTGTAAAAGTCTTACCTTCGTTTTTGGCAATTCTCTGCACTGGCCTCCAATCCAAGAGTCTAAACTGGGATCCTAAATTCTTCAGTCCAGTTTTTCTCATTAACTTTCTTTTAATCGCTCAAACTCTGTACTTAGTAATCAAAATCTTTATTTTCAGGTCTGTTTTTGACATAAACAGAGCAAATTCAAGTTGAATCATCCTAGTTTTGCTTTCAAAGATGACATCTCCAATATCCTTCCTACATGGAACAAATCTAAAATTTAAACTTTAGGGGTGAGTGCATTAATTAATGGAAAACTCTATTTACACTTGGATTCTGAAGTAACAAAGACCAGAAAATTAGTGGTTTGTAGTGTACACCTACAAAATTAAAGTCTCTCCAAATGCCCGCACAGCTGTATCAATCTCCAGGAGCATTACAGAGCCATCTGTGTCTCCTGCATTCATTCCTTCTTCACAGTATTCAGCTCTAATTTTTCCTGTCCTGTGCCTTATCTCAGTTCCACCAAGTGTCAAAGACTCCAGACCTTTAGACCAATGCAGGTCTCACCTATGGTGACCCCTGTTTATCCCAATTACAATAACTGTCTCTCGGAGCTTTATTCCAGACAAGATCCTCATCAATTAGTGCATTCTGGCAGAAGAAAATATATCTTGACAATTTTATTGCTACAGTCTATAAAACCTGTCACGGTCAAATACATTTCTGCCAACATCCACAAAGATGTCACCTAAACCTTATCAGCAAGGAGATATTATTTGCAAACCAAATCTGCAGTTGAAATAGATTGAGTCAGCATGTTCTGTCAAGATCACAGCAATTCCCTTTCCAAATAAGTTATTTGAATTCAGGGAATGTTTGCAACAGGAGACAGTTCAAAGGGAAAGAACAGCAAACATCTGCCAGGGATCTAGTGTAGGAACCAAGATCTAGAAGTCCTCTCTGCAGCAGCTATAGCATGTGCCCCTCTCCACAGGCCCTGTAGCACCAGGCTTTGCCTTCTGCCCAAGGAAGCCCCATCATGCAGCTCCTGAAGGGAACTGATATTTGGCCAACAGGGTCAGCAGAAGGTTTTCTAACACCCCATTTTTCCGAGAGGACAGAGCTTCTCAGCGCCTCCGGATTATAGCAGAAGAAAAAAGCCAAGCTAGATATGCGATGAAGCACAGGCAAAGCTTCATTAACATGGACCAAGAGACAAAGTGCCCCCTTTGAGGACAGACACCAATGAAACCCAGACCTCTCTTCTTCATAAGTGCAATAGATGCAATATTGCTGCTCTTTTCTCTATTTCTTTTCCTACAACTGTGAATTAGAAGATATATATGACAAGCTTAGAGTACTTTCTAAGGTTCTCTAAGGTACAAAAATATTTACCCCTCCCACTCCCCAGAAGGTTCAGCAGTTAAGGAAAATTGTAAGTTTTTATCTGGATTTGCAGTTTGCAACTAGTTGTATTTACATGCGATAATTCATATTTAACTACACAAGCAGCTTGTGCCTTTCCTGGAGGTGAAAGCTCTGAAGACTTCTTTCATCTCCTGTCTCATTGTTTTTACAGAAGGGATGATTAACAGGAAAATTCCTGGAGGTGATGGTGGAACAGGGGAATCCCAATGAAATAGCCTGAACACAGAATCCTTGCAGTAGAGGAGCCTTTGCAGAAAAACACAAACTGGCAAAAGGTTATCAAGAACCTTAAGAAGAAAGAGAAAGGCCCATCCACCACCTCCCAGAACAGAATTTGTGCTAAATGAGGGAAATAAGGCTGGTTATTGACTTGCATTGGAGTCATTGTGCAAACACTGCAGAGCTTGCAAAGGGGCAGCATCCCATAATACCAGGCTTCCTGCATCATCTTTGGGTCACTTTCTGGCACTGACTGCAGGACCTGCACCCGGGACACCTCCACAGCCTGCCCAAGGCTCTCCTACCATGACGGGCTGCAAGAGAACCAGGAGAAGGTCCACAGCAGCAAGGCTGCAGGGCATTGGGAAACACTGCGATCGAGTACAAGGTCAGCGGTCAGAGTCAACAGTCACAGAATCACCTCAGAAAACGCCACGCTATACAAGCCCCCAGCCAAGAACTGGGTAGCTCGCAAGCTGACTGTTTGGGACACCTCCAAGGAAGGGCGAGAGAAGCAGGAGACCATTTATAGAGGCCTGGGGACTCTAACTGCCAGTTCTGCAAAGCCTTAGAAAAATACAACAAGTCACATGAGGGCTCTCTGAATCCTGGAAAAAAAAAGTCATCCTTTATGAAGTATCATTTACAGCAAATTTAAAACTTTCTAGGGTGCTGATATCTCTGCAGGTTTGCAGAGGACTGTTTTGACCTCATTGCAGTGCCTGAAAATAATACATAGGCTACCCAAGAGAAAGCATAAAGGAAACTAATGAATTTCCAACCCCTCTTGAGCCTTTGCCTCCTGCTGCCTTGGAACCACATGGAAGCAGCAAACGGCCTCCCTGGCACGGGCGCTTGCTGCAGCTCTGCCACAGACCACTGCGTGCCACAGACAGCCTGGATGCAAAAGGATATGGAAAGGAGGACAGGAATGACTGCAGAAAACACACGGGAGTTAGCGCTGCTGCCTCCAGGAGGTCTGCTGGCTCCACGACAGGCAGTTTTGCCCAGTCACTGCCACGTGCCATTTGGACAGATAGAGCATTCTAATTTGATTAATAATCTCTTAGCAATGGCGAAAATTTCATTTGTGGCTGATTCTTCCTGCTGGCAGCCGGGAGAAATTCAGAAGGTGCCCAAATACTGATGGAAGGGCCTCGTAAGGGCACCTTCCTCATCAGCAGGTTGTTTTAGCAGCACCATTAACATAGGCTTTGCTAGTGATTGTTACAATAGCTAAATAATCGAAAGCGCTATTATAATTTGTGGTGAATTTTAAGTGCTCGGATTTTCCTTTCCAAGAATTTATTTTAAGCTTCAAACTATGCATTGGTTTTATAAAAATCTGGTACATGTCACAGCACATGATTTTAGCTGAAATGGGTGAGCAGATGTCAGTGAACGTTTTCATTGTCTGATACTCATCCTTCTCAAGGTTGTGTAAGGAATTTACCTGCTCCACTAATTAAGGCAGAGGTGTATTTTGCATAAATAGCGTGAAACCAGTGACTTTCACCCTTCCTTGACTGTCTACAGCAAGAAGGTTTTCAGTTAATGTAGAAATAGGCAATGACAATTCCTAACCCATGTTTGATCACATTAAAAAAACAGCATGCAAAATATTAACTACTATTTGTTTTGGAGTTCACTGACAATAAAGAGTTATAAGCTCATAAATATGATGTACATGGAAACAGTTTCAGTGTTTACATTCTGTTCTCAACAGCTACACTAGAAGAAAAAGTGTCTTGAAAGCTTACTTGAAAAACTATTAAAACTAAGGAGAAAAGCAAATGAAATGACTATAAGTGAAATCCTGCTAAAATCTGGAGTAGTATCACTCAATCCTTATCTACAGAAGAGAATATTTACAGACCAGGTCACAGCTAAAACAGACTCAAACACTGTGTGTTCACTCAAGGTCTTCTAGAGAAGTCCTACAGTGAGGTTTATATAAACACGCAGTGTGTTTAAGTAACAACTGCAAAAGAAAGTACAGGAAACGCGTGCCCATTGCCAAACCTTGTCAACCAGCGCCACAGATCACAACTGTTTTCAGAGAGGCTGCATCAATAGGTCCCACATATCCAGGAAAGCTTTTAACTGAAACAGTCAGCTTCATCTTAAAATAGCTTCTAAATACAAATTAATTAAATCTACCAGTAAATCAGTTACACTTCAAAACATTACTTTTCCATAAATAGCTTGAACTGTTCAACAGTCACTTACACAGGTCACCGGTTCTTACTGAATCTGTGGACTTTCTTTCTCACCCACCTTTTTGCAGCACCAAGATCTTCATGATCATCCCTGCTGCCCATCAGTGCTCAGACAAGAGCTCACCCATCTCAGGTGCTGCCTACCTCTCTAGGGCCCCTCAGCTGGGATTTCATACTCCTTTTCCTCCCTTATCAGCTCCGCTGTCACCCTCCAGACTGTGCAGACAACATTCCCCATGGGACTTCCCAGGTAGCCCACTGCAGCCTGTTGGGAAGCACTGGCAGGATTGCTTACTGGAGTGTTAAATGCAAAGCTGCTTTTTCATTTTGCAGTTCCTTTCCATTCAGGACCTGCCTGGGAGAGGAGCTCTTTGCCACCCAATATGCAGCAGGAGATGCTGCTCTCCAGGGCAGAGGGCAGCTGGTGGGCCAAGACCACCCCAAATGAGGTACTTCTACAGTTTCAGTGCCATGGGGCTTGTGGCACCATCCCACATGACCTCTCATATAATCACTTTCCACAGCCCCTCAGAGCAAAACAGTTTGAATTTCCTGGTGCTCAGAGGAGCTGTTTGGAAGAGGACACTTACCGTAACAGTTAAAAGGTCACCAGAATACATTTGGTCCTTTAAAGCAAACTTTTATCCGTGGATTTCCCAACATAAATCAATGAAATCTCAAAACAAGCCTCTGAGGTAGGTAAGTATCATTTAATGTGTATTTTACAGGCAAAGAAAGAAGGGCTGAAGGGAGGTGAAGTGATTTACCCAAGACCTTGAAAATGAGTCAGAGAAGAAAACCTGACCCCAGGTCTTCACCATAAACCCCTAGACCCCGCTTTTCCTCTTCAGGCCTGACATCTTCACCACCCATTTACAGTAGCTGTTAGACCCAACAGGTGTCTGGGGTTTCTATCTAATGGGTGCTTGGTTTAAAACTGGAGCAGGGAGCTGCAGGTCCCCTGGGGAGGTTTAGTCAAGAACAGTGACAGGGTTCTGCTGAGTTACCTTTATTGTAGAAGCATGCTAAGAACACAGCGACACGGCAAAGAGCCTGAGCAGAGCCGAGCCCAGGCAGGCACATGGGAACTAGACCTGGGGAAAGAGTGGCTGGGTCCCCTGAGCCCCTCGCCCTCCACCTGAGCAAGGATGGGGCTGTCCTTCATGCAGGGCAGGGGGATGAAGGCAGCTTTGACAACACCGAGGACGTGTCCGTTCCTTTGATGCTTAGTGTCAGTTCTTCTGGTATTTGCCCTAGAAGGAGGCAAAGAGGGAGGAAGATGAAGAGCTTATCCCTATAGTCCTGAAGTCCTACAGTTAGCTCCCTGCTAGGGCTCAGTGCTCTGCAAAGCATCAGCACCCTGGCTCAGGCTGGCACCAAAGCAAAAAGCACATAAAGCCCTTTGCCCCAGCCCTGCAGGCTGCCTGGGGGAGGTCTGACAATCAAACCTTGTGAAATGTTGTCTCCAGGGCAGACTGGCCCAAAAGGAACAAATCACAGCACTTTTCTCCTTACCTTTGGTCACAGCTGATTCCTGAGACTTGCTGACTGTAGGAGCTCCGTTACTGCTGGAAAGAAAGAGCAGAAAATAAGTGCATTCCCAAGCATGACCAGGCAGAGCATTCGTGTTTGTGACATCCCTGCTGTCCCAGCAGCTCCTGGCTCGACCTCTGCATGGAGCAGAAGCTGCAGAATGCGGCACCAGGGCAGGCAGGCTGGGAAGCTGCCAGTCTGGGAACATGCACTAATTTCAGCCTGATGCTTTTCACGCCTAATACTTATCTGCAAAAGGTGCTGCTATTTTTATTTTCCTTCTTCTGCCTTCTTAGTGACAAACTGACAGAACAACCATCTTTGTAAGAAAACTGGGACATGTCCATTGAAAACCAGGGAGTTCTCCATTTCTTCTTTAAGGAACAGATTTAAGAGAAGGAGAAATTAGATAGACACCCCCCCACACTTTTTTTTTTTTTTTGCCTGGCATGTTGGCTAAAATGGGCATAATGGTGCATAGCACAGGGGGGACTTGTGAAAAAGCCTTCAAACAAGAAAAGGAATCATAAGATGCAACATTAAAAGCAAAACACACTGGAACGACCCATAATTAAACCTCAATCCCTAAAACCTTTAACGCATTGGGGGATCTAGCAGCAAGCAAGGTTATCAAACCAGCGCAAAGCGGCAACAAATCCCTCAGCCTTGGAGCTGCATTCAGAGACACAGAGTGGGGCAGAGCATGTGCCAGGCAGGATCAAAGGAATCTGGTTTGGGCACAGCCACCAGCGGAGAGGCAGAGGGCCTGGCAGCTGGCCAACACAGGGCAAGGCTCTCCACAAGAAAATTCTCCACTTTCCACAACGCTGCCCAGATACACCCTCTTTCACATCAAATCCCTCTCAACCCTCCTTTTTCTTGTTCCTCCCTATGGGAATTTTTTCCTCACGAGAACCTGTCCCCTAACCAGGAGAGGTGCCGGAAACACCTTTAAATCCAGTGGGACCTTTGCTGCCAGAAGCGGATGCAGACACTGACCTACATAGTCGTAGAGATGAGGCATGCTGGTCAGATTTCATCATCTGAACCAGCATCTCCAAGGCTAACTTTAAAATATGATCCAAAAATACGTCCTTCAAGTCTGAAGGATATACTTTGGACTATTTCACTTTTGCTCTGCGCATCACTGCTATCTAAAAATCATTTCAGACACCAAAAGCCCTGCTGGAGCTGGTCTCCTCCACATTTAGCAAGTAACTAGCGTCCAGCTCGTCAGCAGAAGGAAAGAAGGAAGGACTCATTACACTGGAGGTTACTATCAACTGCAGTGTCTGAAAATAACATTGCTCAGTGCATGAACAGATCTTCTCTCATTTACAGGCTTCCAATTCAGAAACGAGAGAAGCCTTTGATGGACTCCACAGCTCTGCCAAGGAAATGGACTTCCATAAATGTCTAATTTGATTCTTCAAGTGATGTAATATACTTAGAATAAGAAAGAATAGATCATTATATGTGTTTTATTTCTCCCCTTCTCCTGTTTTGCCTGCATGGCAAGAGCTTTTCACCTCCCCTTCGAATTGATTCCACTCTCCTTGAAATACTTTTAACTTGGCTATGAATTACAAAGCTCATTTGCTTTTCAGTAAATGGCATATTCCTATAGCTCTCACATCTGCACAGCTAGAACAGCTTGGTATAAAATCCCAATCCAAACACATCCAATGGACACAGACAGGGAGAGCCCAGCTACACAGTGAAGCACTGGACACTGCAGAGCTGCCACTGGTTAAGATGCAAAAGGCAACTGAGAAATGCCCAACTCCTCCCCTGTGCAAGACCAAGACAGAGTACAAGATGCTTCCCAAAGGAGGCATGAAGTGCAACTGAGTGAATAATTATCATTGTCCACAGCATGGCATGAATAGTGTTAATCGCCCCATAAGCTTAGTTAACCTGCTAGTTAACCCAACCACAGGATGAAGACTCAACTCCCAGCTACTGCCAGAGCAGCACTGCTAGCAGTAGCCAGCAGAGATGTCTTCTCACTCTTTACTCTGCCCCTCTCCATTCCCATGCTATTTTGGAAGGAGACAACCTTTCTGCCTCAAGTCCATGCAAGGCTGCTAGGTCAACCCCACAAGCCCACATAATGCCAGCTGGGAGTTCTCGATGGAAAGCTCTATTTTTCCCCAAGTGTTCCCAGTCCAGAAATGACATGCTCCTTACCACTTCTGCAGCAGGCTTTCGGCATTCACCTTGGTAGCTTACTGTGATGTAGTTTGTAGCTCTCCTGCAAAAGGGAAGACAAGCCGTTGCCTGTTATTCTCTCGCAATGCTGCAGCGCTCTGCCACCAGCAGGACCATCCTCTGTGGACTCCTTACTGCTTTGATGCTGCTTCCAAGAGGATGGCATTTACTACTCCCAAAATAATTTTATGAAAGGGTAGAAGGGGAACATGGGACTCTGGAAACTTGTGCATCTTAATTAGCTGTCATCAGATTAATCTCAGGCATTTTGATCTATGTTTGCTTAACAGCGAGACACCAAGGACACACTTGATAGTGAGTCATGATATATCAAAACAAACACTGTGCTGCAAAAGACACTCGGGAATGGTGGATGGCCCTGTATTACTGAAATCTCTCCGCCTACTCACATGGCAGCTGAACACAAGTCACATTCATTTTTGTATGTTTTCCCATCAGTGCCACAGACGGGTTGTGAGGATTTGCTGCAGAAAATCCTTCCACCCTTTACCCCGTGCAGAATTCGATCACAGTCCAGCTGAAGAGAAAAAGAAATCACATTTGGTGCTGGTTCTTTTGTAAGTCCCTTTAAAATGCACAACTCGGCAGCACTTAAAATCCAAATGCCAACACGAGACCCCTCTGCAGCATGTCCATTGTGCCTGCAGCAGAGCTGGGCTTGCAAAGGGAGGTAAAGCCCCTTGCTGGGCTGAGCATCCATATAGCTTGCCCAATCTGACTTGATATTTTTGATCAGGGGAGGTTTATTTCTCTGTCTGCATCCACAAGATGACAAAAGCTTCTACTTGCCACTAGTCTTTCTTTACCAGGGCCCTGCTGTGTTTTATCTGCAAGATAGCAGACACCCACCGGCAAAAATTAAAGGAAATCCTCTAGAGCCAACTCCAGCCGCCCGAGGGCAGTGCAACACACAGCACAACTCCTGACGCTCACCGAATTAAGAGATGTAAACAGTATATTAAGAGCTATGACTAATTAAGTGTGCCCTCTTATTTCTTCTCAACCACAAGAACAGGAGTATTTTTGTGCAGTCTCCTGTAAACGACACATGGCACAGAGAGAGCGGGAGGAAAAAAATAAAATCACAACAGAAAGTGGCCTTCTTGTCCCTCCAGGGATCCCCAAGGGCCTCCTGCACTTAGGTCTGTGCCCCATTGATTGCTAGATTAAATGCCAAAGAGCAGAGGTTGATGACAGCATATCCCATTCCTGCCACACATGGATACACACTCGTCCTTAGCCCTGCTGCCCTCCTTGGCATGCAAAAGTGTCAAGACCAAGGAGTGACTGATGGGCTCCCATCCCCTTCTATGAGGCCATAAAACATGTTGTGACAGCTACAAACGGTGCAACCAGTTCAGATTGGCAGTGAGAAAGCCTCAGCTCCATCCTATGTGTAGACCCCTGTTCAGCACCAAGAAACCTCCCATGGTCGGGCAGGGCAAGGTGGCCACCAGCGGGCTCCTGTGACAGCATCAGGCCGTTCAACATCACCTGCTAATTTCCTTAATGTGCTGTTTCCTCCCTCACCCACACAATTAGCCAGGACATCAAGGCAAGCAGTGCCGACCCTCCGTATTCCCCAACAGGCTCCTTTCTCCACACCAGGCCCTGCTGTCTACATGGGGATGAAGGTCAGGACAGCAGCAACACCTGGGCAGCACGACATTCCAGTGGTGCCATCGTGGGGCTGCCTGCACTGGAAGTGCCAGCAGCCCGAGAGGGCTGGGCTGCCCTGCTGAATCACCCTGCATTAGCGCAGCTAATCGCTGTCCACTCCCCCGATACCGCCACCAAACAGCACTAAGCACTCCAGCAGCCTGTCCTTATTACAGCCTAATGCCTCCTCTGGAATGCATTAAAATTGCTGCACTTGAACCACCTCCTCCTGTTTCCTTCCCCCTGCCACCCCACTCCAATATCCCATTTCAAGAGTGGTCAATGATACAGGTTTCTCGGAGGGTTAATGCGATTTTCAGTAAAGCTCTCCCCAAGCCCCATGGAAACATTTCCTATCCCTTCCGAAATGTTTTTTAAGTTACTGAATGAAAAAGCTGGAGGAGCTATAAATGGCTTTTTTCCTTTTTTTTTTTTCCCCTAAATCATCCTAGCTGTTGGCAACCCTCAGTGGCAGCAAGTTCCACAGCTCAGTCACACATGTTATGGTAAATTATTCTCTCTTATCACTTTTACGTTTTCCACTGCTTGACCTCATTGAAACTTTTACACTTTCCTTTTGTAGGGATAGGGAAAGCAGACACCCCAATCGTTCCATTCCTCCACAGACACTCATCACCTCTGTTGGGGCTTACCCTGTGCATCCCTCTTAGCATCCAAGGCCCTTGGCCATCCCTTCATCCTGCTCTGGACCACAGCCCTCAATTCTGCACCTTCTGGACATTCATGGTGAATGCCACTCATGTCCCTTTGCATATTTTTGGGGCAAGAATCCAGTCTAAATCCAGCACCCACCATAAAGAAAGCACCAAGAGCGAACTGCAATGAAAGCAGCTGAGGGGGGTCCCAAATCCAAACAGGTTTAGGGCCCTGGTGCTGTCCCAGAGGATGGCATCAGCGCAGCTCCCTGCGGGCTCCCGCAGCCCTTACCGGCTGGTAGGTGTCCGTGTCTCGGCTCTGTCCTTTGCGCTCCAGTCCAGTGTCACATCTCCCACCGCGCTGAGCCGGGTCTCTCTGCAGGCTGCCAGGGAGAGGGAGCTCAGTGCAGGTGCCCATGGGCACAGAACACAACCCATCCAGGATCATGGGTCTCCCGTAAGCCCCGGGCTGGGGGAGCTGCACACTTGGCAATGGGAAGAGGAAAGGGAAGCCCAAAGGAGCCCCACGCAGAGCACGTCACTGCACCAATGCAGAGCAACACTGCTTAGAAGTGCAAAACCCTTTGTTTTTACCCTTTCTTTTAACAGAAATCTCCTGGTGTTTTTTTGCAGAGGTAAGGGATGGACATTTTTGAACAGAAGGAGGGTTTCACTAGAAATGTGCCTGCTGCTTAGTGCCCCTTTGTGATGGAAAGAGCTTTGGAAGGGCCCAACTGGACCAGGGACAGCACCAGCAAGCAGAGGCAGCCCTCCCAGAGCCCACGCACACACAGCCCTGCCAAGCTGCAGAGCTCAGAGGGCTGCACAGGGCTGCACAGACCTGTGTCTGCTGGGAGAAACCACTCCAGCACCAGCAAGATGGCACCTTTGCCAAGGACAACCCAGCTCCATCTGCTCTTTCCAGCAGAAAGCAACAACCCTATCCCTAGACCCAAGGGGGAGAAACACCATTTTAAGCACCCTGCAGCATTCACTTCTCCACCCCAGGCAGTGGTGCTTCCGTGCTATTGAGCTCATCCCCCTAGGAGCAACTCCCAGCTATTTCTGGAGAAAACAGGCTGTGTGTGGAAGGTTGCATAAGATGGAACAAGAGCCAGTGCTGCAGGCCAGTGCAGTCCCTGGCTCCTGCTCTACTCACCCTTTGCTTGCAGAGGACGGACGCTGCTTGTTCACTGTCTGCTGCCACTCCGATTCACTGCAGCTCTTCTGCAAGAGGGCCAGGAGGAGCACGTTAGCAGAGCATGGAAAGAACTACCACACTACTGCAGAACAAGCAAAACTAGAGAAGTTCCCATCCTTTCGCACTCCTAAGTGCAAGGAAGTGAGCTGGTCACAGAGAAGCACATGTGATGCTTGTTCCAAGTAGGTTAATATCCACCGAGGATTAAAGTTTGAGGGCAGGCCTTTATGTTGGGTACAGCATCTCGTCACCAAGAAAGCAAGCAGGGTTATTCCACTAGGTCCAGGTGGAATTTGCACAGGTACAAACAAGCATTTATTTAAATTCAGTTTTATAACATGCCCTACTTCTCCCTGTTAACTGCACCAGTGTTATACCAGGCTGACCACACATGGTCCATGCCCACCAGTAGAACAGACACGCTCATCAGCCCTTTCTCCGAGCTCAGGTAAGGTCTCCACAGGCAAGGCAAGCAAACTTGGTCTCACCTCAGTTTTCCTCTCTGAAGTGAGCTCACGGCTCTGCTGGGCATTTCCCCCTGACTGGCCTCCTCTTTGGGCTTCCTTTTTGCTGCGGGGAGAGGAGAAAAACGAAGTGCTATGGCCATGCAAGCAGCGCCCAGACACGAGGCTGCCCTGGAGCCCAGCACCACGCACCAGCCTCCCTTCTGCAGTCCATGCTCCTGGTGGCTCTGCTCCTAATCCCCACCCCTAAAGCCTTCTCCCTTCTCCTCACCATTCCCACTGTATGCTACATCCTGGATCCAGGCTTCATATCAGGGCTGCTTCTGCAGATGCACTAGGGGAGTAGAGAGAGAGCGCATCTGGAAGGCAAAGTACAGGCATGGGAAACTCCTCGGAGCTGCCGCGGCAGAGACAGTCCCCTTGGGAAGGGGGTTGCTAGCTATCAACCCTGCTTCTCCTCTACGCCACACCGCTTCTCACCTGCCCTTGGGCCTTCTTGCACCAAAGGGGAAGCGAGAAGAGGGGCAGTGACCAGAGCCCTACTGCAGGAGCATCTCCTTGAGGGTCACCGGGATGCAGGGCTCTGCTCCAGGTATCACCCACAGCTGCAGCTTCATGGGCTGAAACTGCAAGTTTGCAGCCACAGGGCCCCCTCTTTGCTGTTGCTGCTCAGAGGAAGTTGTACTCACAACTTGTCAGCGCACATGAGACATTTGTTGATGTGCTGCTTGCCCGAAGAATCCCGAACAGGGGCATTCTCCCTCGTGCAGGACAGCTTTCCACCGGCCTCGAACCTGGAGCGATACTCACTGCAGTCATCCTGCAGAAGGGAGGGCAGCGTTTAAGGCAACCTGTCTTCCTTGCCTTAGTGATCTGAGTCCTAGGAACTTGGGGTTTCCTGCCAGGAAAGCATGAAACCATCACAAGTGCATCACACAGGAGAGCCAGGGCGTGAGCAGAAGAGGCCTTGCAGCACCAAGCACTTAGCATTGAAACAGAGGAGTGAGTCAGAAGAATTATGGGTCCCTCTGCCGAGGCTGCACGTGTTGGGAGTTTTCCAGTATGGTCCCACTAATTATCATGCTCCGTGCTGGGCTATCCAAAGCACGCTAGCAATGCGGTTGATAACGTAATGAGACCCTCCCACTTCTCCCAGCATCCTTAATACACAAGTTACAGTCTTTTCCCAGATCATAGCTCTGATAGTAGCTTAATTTACAAAGGAAGGACTACCGCCCCCCCCCCCCCCGAAAAAAATCTATCAGTTTAGTATGCATGGATCAAGAAGCAACAGATAAAACAGAATCACAGTACAAACATTCTTAAAAGTCCATAAATAGCAGGAGGTTCTTTGGAGAACAGATGACTAATTTGTTCCCTGCTCAAAATCACCATACAGAAACTATGTTAATTTTCCTCATTTTGTAATATGGATGTAAACATTCAATCATTCTGTTTTCAGCTATTTAAGAAACTGCATTAGCTGATTTCAGCAGCAGATATGGAAGTAACTGCATGTCATCTGCCCTTTCCTTTTTACTATAGGTTTAGCATTTGCTATTTTTTGCCTACTTTCTCCATTAGAGGGTTTTGGTTAAGTTGCATTAAGGCCCTCCGCAGGTCAGTAGCCTCATCTTTTCCTTGCCTTAAGAGCCTTCAACATCTAGTCCTCTTTGGCACAGGAAGGATTTCCTTGGCAGCACATTCCTGCATCTCATCCCTGGACATCCCAGCCTCAGAGCCCTTGGCTTTGCTGAACATACATTGTCAACCACAGAGCAAGCTGTTGAGAGTCCAAAAGCCCATGCTGTTCTACTCCCGAGCTAGTCACCGAGACAGCAAGACCTGAGGGACACACAGGGCAAGACAAGAGACCCTGGGCAGAGCCTCACCCTGCTCCTGACGGCCCCATGGCATCTCTCCCATCACACACACCCACCTCCACTTTGGGGTGGCTCCTGGAAAATCCACTGCTGCTCATTACTCATTCATACCCCCTTGCCCCCATGCAGTTCAAGGGGCAACTTCCCTCCCTGGTAATCTCCAGGAAAGTCCTCCTGGCCCTGGCAGCCTCTTCCCTTGCAGCAGCCTGGAATTGGAGGCTTGTAACTGCTACAAACCTCCAACTGAAGACAGATTTGCCTTTCCCTGATCATCCTCACAGCCTCAAACCACCTCCTTTTCCTTTAGTGTTTCTGGAGCTTTGTTAACTTCCTGACCTCTGTTGTAAAAGCCTCCCTGAGCACATCCGAGACTTGTATTTGCCTTTTTCACAGGCCTCTCACCACTGACCTGCTAATAAATGTGGGGCTTTCTTATCCTTTGTCACTTTTAATTGACAAGCTGGGATTCTTGTTAATCACCAACTGTGTGATCTTGCAGTCTCTGTTATTACATTTTATCTCATTTCTATTACTCCAGGCCTCCGCACTATCCAATTAGTCCTGTGTGATCTGCTGATCCTTCGCTGCCAACACTGCTGCCCAGCTTTGCCATCAAACTTCCCTCACACGCTTCCATTTTCCTTTGTGCCAAGGACATTAGGAAAAGCACAAAAATGAGCCTGGCCTCAGGACTGAGCATTAAGGGGACTCCACCAGCTCTCTGCATAAATAAAAAGGATCAAAGTGACTTTTTCCTTACAGAATTGCTCATCAGCAAGGCAGGAGTGTCCTGCAATGCACTGGCCACAGCCTGGACCAGTGACACACAGCGGGCACAGCTGCACAGTGCAAGCAAGGTGCAGCCAGGATGCCACAGGCCCCTGGGGACAGGGCAGGCTGCCCTCTCCTCCCACAATAAAAGTCTTTTGAACTTGAATGTGAAGCTTTCCTCCTAGATTTTTTCCCCCCCCCCCCCAAACTTAGCATCCCAAGCAAGACTGGGTTCTGTGCTCTTGTGCCAGATGTCAGGACAGCACCGGATATTTAGTTTCTTTCTCTGAAGGGATTTGTCACTGTCTGTCACTCCACCCGTTGGTCAGAGGGGTAGATGTAGCATTCAGCAAAACCTCTCTAAATTCCTGCCTCCCAGCTAGTCGTGTCCAAAGCTCACGGGACCAGCACAGGACTCCTCGCTCACTAGCCCCGGGGAGAGCTTTGAGCCAGCACTGCCGCTTGGAGCGGAATTTGATTGCCCAAAATGAAAGACATGCAATTCTTTCTCTTGGGGCTTCAGGAGCGTGAAGAAGAAACAAGCAGAGAAAGGAAAGTGGATCTCAAAATGAAATCAGTACAAAGCAACCGAGTAGAATAATGTTACCCCTTCTCTATCTTGGGTGAAAATCCAATAAAGTTGTATATCGACCTGCCTAATACTTTAATCTCACCTTATTTTTTCCTTGTCTGTTTTTAGATGACTTCTGCTCATTCTCCTTTTTGCTGGAAGGGAAGCAAGATGAAAGAGTGAATAAAATATTGCTCCCAGGGAGCAAGAGACTTGCTCTGCCAACCGCAACACGAGGAGTAAGCAATTCTGCTCTGTCTGGTGTCAGCAGCCAGATTGTCCAACAACAGCTTTGTCAATCTAACAGAAACAGCATTTTTTCCTCTACTCACAACTTCTCTGCACACATGATGCACTTATTGCTGTGCTGCTTCCCAGAAGAATCCCGGACAGGGTCGTTTTCTCTTGTGCAGGAAAGCTTCCCGTTCTTGAACAGATCCCGAAATTCTCGGCATTCATCCTGTAGAAAGGCCAAAAAGGAGATTTGACATAGATATGTTTGACAGAGATATAAATCATACTAATCCACAAAGGATTATCCATCTACTGAATTACATGTTGAAAACAAAATTGTTTCCCTGAGGCACAAGTGAGTGGCAAACCAGAAGTTGTTTGTTTGATCAGAGTCTTTTAAACCATAGCACACAACATATATTCTATTAGCAAATAGGTTGTTAAGTTTGTATTTTTCCTTTGCATCCAGGATAACCTTATTTTTAGTAGACACATGCAAGATCCCACCTGAAGGACCTTGGTTTTGTTCCAAGTACAAAAACAATATATTTAGTTATTTCTGAATTAAAATTAACTCTCATCTTTAGTGAGTATTAATTTTAAAAAGCTATGTCCAATAAAGAAAGCAGTAGGCATTAAAAAAGAAATCCTTCCACACCTCACATTTCCAGATGTGCTAGAGCATAAAGACGACCACTTATCTTCCATATAACAGGTTCTATAAATTAAGCAAAGTGCTCTTTTCTGCGGGAGACTTTCATGGCAACGCCTGCTCAAGCTTGTCCTTGCTTTCCTCCGAGCAGCTTTCCGATGGCATGCGGGATATGTCAGCACATTTGCAGCACAGGCGACATGCTCTGTGCAAATGCCTTTGGGATCCTTTTTGGAGCACTCTTCTGGACCCCGTTCTAAGGTTATCTACCATTTGATCTATAACATTCTCCTTCCTCGCACACAGAGGGAAGACAGATTTATGACCTATTCCCATTTTGCAGATGGGAAAACCAGGCCCAGAGAATTACTTGCCAAAAGCCTAGTCAGACCCAGAAAATTACTTGCCAAAAGCCACACAGGAAAACCACAATTGAACAAAGTTATCCAGTGCAAATATCTGCCTGGCACCTTATACTTCCTCTTTTGAGGCCATACTTTGGCAAGTCAGATGTTTTAAAGATTTCCCTTAGAACATCTGTGCTTTAAGCTGTTCGGGCACGCAACAGCTAGTAAGCTGTGCCATTCAACCAGGAGGTGTAAAAGTTGATCACTGCAGCCAATATCAGCTGATGCAAAACAGTTTGGTCCTTTAGAGACTAAGAGACCAAGACAGGAAAAGGGACAAGTTCCTCCCCAAGACAACATGCTCTCTAGAAAAAAAAAAATTGCTCTGGCAAAGAAAACTAAAGCACATCAACACGATAAACAAGGCAAATTAGAGCTAACCTGCTCCCACACCCTGCTCTAGTCAGGGCACCATTACTGCTATTAATTATTTGTCAGATGCCATTTGTGTTTTATAAACAGGCAGGTATCTCCCTTAGCCCACACCACGGCTCAGGCACACACCTCACTTCGTTGGTAGTTCTCCAATAGGGACTAGACCGACTGGGAAGAGTCTGGAGGATTTCTGGTTTATTTTATGTTATTGGAGAACAATAAAAGCTTCCTACTCCTTGAGCCCCTCCTCTTGCCAAGACAGAGGGCAGTTATCAGCTGTGGTCCTTTCCCACCAGCTGAGCCCAGGCTGCCCCATTGCTGTTGGGAAGCACACGCAACAAGTGGGACAGATGTACGAGACACCATGATGCCACCCGCTTCCCCTTACACCGATAAAACCGGCTTCAGCCGTGACATTTCAGCTCACCTCTCTTGTAGAATTCATGTTTCTGTTGACTTCACCACTCCCTTTGTTTTTCAGGTATCTTTCCCTACAAGAAAAGGAGGCGTGAGCAACAGAAATGTGCGTGGTTCTGGGACGTAAAAACCAAAATAGCTGGTGATTAAAGGCCCAGAGCTGCCAACCCCACCTCCTCCTTGCGCAATGCAGCAGGAGGGATCAGGACTTGGAGCTCCAGCTCGGTGAGACATGCTCCAGCTATTCAGCGTCTTTACTGGGAACATTTTACTATCCTTTCTCTCTAACTGCCAGGTGTTCCCAACCTATTAAGCATCATCTATGGAAGATGGAAGCTACATCCACATGTGCTCTCATATACCCCATGAAATGGGACTATTTGGAGAGAGCCTGCAGAGTTCACAGGTTTGCCAAAGACCTACAGACCAGTCTATCTGGCCTAGGACTGCAGTAAGTCACTGTATGAGGAAGGGACATGCTGCAAAGCTAGGACAACATCCCAAACCAACATAGCAGCTGCCACAAAGCAGGGCCAACAGACAATACTCACAGGAGCCGCTTGCACATCAGGCATTTGTTGAGGTCAGTTTTGCCGTCGGGGCCTCTGATGGGCTCGTTATCGTAGGGACAGGAAAACCTCCCGCTGCGTAAGAGTGACCAAGTTTTCATGCACTCATTCTGAAAAACGTGCGGGAGGCCAGTCAGTGGAAAAGGGCAATGAGAAAGTCCAAAACTCATCGAGACAGCCATTACTTGCAAGAAAAGGAGTACAGGTTTAATTTGCCTACAGCTACAAATTGCTACCTGCTGCTGCAGAGGAGTACTCTCCAAGTCATTAGTCAAGAGCAGAAAATACAGCCCTACAATTGCCAGCACGATGCAAAAGCAATGAACATAACTGAAGAGCAAGGGATGAATTTCAGAAAAGCACTATTCTCTGGTGAAGTAGAGCATTAATACTCCCCAACACTGTATCAACCAATTCACTCCTTTTTGGCAACTGGAAATACAGATTAAAGAGAATTGAACCATGCAGTTATCTTTGGCTACCATGTTTTCTAAAAGCATCTTTACTAAGGAAAAAGAAAGTCAAGACATGGACTGAGTTTACTTTTCAGTCACCGAATCAATTATTTTCTGAGACTCACATGGACTTGGCTTAGTTTTTTTCATTATCATGTCCAGAAATCCTCAAAAATAAGGGTTTCTGCAAGTTCAGAAGCCTATAGCAGATATCATTAGAAACACAACTCACTTCTCGTGAAATTCCTAGATGGGACCAGTCAGGTATGTGCACAGTACACCAAACATACAGACAACATCAGCTAGAACCACTATTCAGTGCAAATGCATTGTCACTAAATAAGGAAAATTTCACTCCCTTTTTTCTGCCCCTGGAAAAGATTATCATCTTTCATTTCATTCTATCTGCTTAACTTTATTTAGTGGGAATTAAGCAGTGTGGATGGCACAAAAAAAGAATCAGAATAGAAAAAGGTTGGACTTGCCTTAATTGAAGCTCTGCTAGCAACATCTGTGACAAAAAAACAAAAGACAATGAAACCATACCAAATCTTCAAAGGAATTTTTTTTAAATCAAAAGCATTTAATTAACATACTTGATGCAGTTTCCTAATCCATCCCAATACCTCTATACAAAAGCTAATCCAATACAACATGACACATTGGTTAAAAGAACTGTGGCAAGACATATTTCTCTGGAACAGTGCATTTTTTTTTTTTTATAATTCAAATGACAAAGCATTTTCTTTTTAGCATCTTTGTTCCTTTACTGTATTAGGTTTTTTTTTTCACTTTTAAAAAAGTCAAAGTTTCAAGGATGCTTCAATAACCATTTCTTTTCCATTTTGCCCACTGCCTTGTTAGTGGTATTAATTTTGTTCCCCTTTCCTCTTCACTTAAAATCGGGGGGGGCCAAAGCAGGCCCATGATGCTGTTGCTTGTCTAAATCTGCCTAAATTACTCTTCAGAAGACATTCCATTTGCAATGCTTCACAAACTACCAAATTAGTAATGATTCAGTAGATAGGTAGTTGCTATCTGTTCCTTTATGCTAAGCCATTTAGGGACAGTATAATACGCGTTTCATCCTTCTCTCTTGCCTCATCTGTGACAGCACAGGGAACACCAAAAAAATCCCCCATTAATATATATTCATATTGAAAAGGAGATAAAGACCATTAGACCAAACCTAAATTCCTCCTAAAGCCTCTTTATTATAGCCATATGAAAAAGTATTTGCTAATTAGTTGACAACATAGTGTCATTTCAGTCTCAATCTTCTTTCGATTCTGTGGTTTCCTACATTCATCAAAAGGTATATTAGTTTTTTGCTCAATGTTAAACTCTTTATGCAAACTGGCTGGAAATTTGTCTTCTTCCACATAGATTTCTTGTCTTTTTTTTTTTTAAAAGCTGTTACTAAACTCTAAGAATAGATACTTTTCATCCACTGTACTTTTCATCATTAAAAAGGTCCTCATTAACAACGCCATATAAAGTCAATACCATAAAATTAAAAGTGATGGCTTTCTTGTTACGTCACTATACTTTTTAGAGTAAAAGTCCTCTATAATTTTGTATCTCGCTGTTTTTAAGGGAGCTCTCAAGGCTGCGTGCCACACCAGTCCCAGATTTCATTGCATTGCATTGAGAACATCAGAAGTTACTGACCTGAGAAGCAGAAAAATGCCAGAACAAGGACCACCAAGGCACCTCCTATTTTCATGGTGAGGGTGGCAGTTGTTTGCCTACGTTGACTCTACTAGTGCATTGCTCAATGAAACCCAAAGAAAGGGCTCAGGTCAGATCATGTATATATAGAGGACCAGATTCTCCGCCTTCATTGTGACACAACCTGCCCAAGAACGATCATTAGCCACAAAAACCTGTCTGATGACAGTAACTCTAAATTCTAATGATCCCATTAACACAATTAATTTCCATAAGGATGGGACATATTCAAGTCACTCCCTGCATTTTGTCAGGGAAGAAAATTACAAATAAATCATTTCAGTTTCCCCACAGTGCTGAAGGAATTCATGTCGACTTCAGGGTGGTTTATAGGACAGAGGTACTTCAGTTGGCACATCCTTATTTTCCTTTCATATCCCAGCACAATAGTTAAAAGGGTTTTATTTTAACAACTTGTCCCAGTAGAGACAAAAGGAGAGTCAGGTCACTGAAGACCCCTGGAAGTTAGTCTATTTTTATAAAAGCACCCCTCTATGAACTTAAATAGCAAACAACCAGGTAAGGTGGAAAAATGCCAGGTTTGGTGCTTTGATGAAACCCTCTGAGTTTGCTCCCAAAGTCCACATAGCAGCAGTGCTAGTGAGATAAGTATGTTGCAGAACCCTCATCCCTTCCCTATCTCTCCCCCTTGTTTTCAGAAGAATAGGTTATTTTATTAAATGAGACCTTTTCCAATGTGTAACTTGGCAGACCACAAGGGTACTGCTCTTCAAGTAAATCCATATCCAAAGAAGTGTGACATTATCAGTGCTAGAAGGTCCAACAAAACTACTCTGCTCAAAGGTCTCCAAAAGAATTTATTTAAAAAAATAATAAAAAAATAAAGAGTATGTTGCTCCATGCAGTGTTCCTCAGAAGATACAGGGAAGAAAACAAAGATGATGTCAAAGTTTTGGAATGCAACTTACGTGGGAAGAAATAGGGTGCCTTGATCTCTGAGGAGAAGAAAGATTCAGAGAAACATAATTTGCAAGGTTAGAAATAAGTGGATAAAAGGAAACGACTAAGAGGAAGAATCAAACAGACCACGCATGCTGCAGCTGCACAGATGAGGGGCAGGTCAGTGCCCTCCAGGAGGGAGAAAACATACTTTTGTATGATCTTTGCAGATGGACCAACACCACAGTTCTAAATATTAACCCTCATAAGTAGTTGCCACATGTTCCCCAGGTCAGAATATTTGTTTGTTTTTACAAGCAGATCCAAACCAAGTAAGCAGAAACCCTTAATTTGGTCTGGGGTCATGCCTAACTTTTCTTTTCATGTCAAAATGAAGGCATCTACAGGTTCAACAGCAGTGACCTCTAAACCAAAATATAAACAGCCTAAGGTCATATAGTTGGTTAATGGCAGTGAAGAGCTGTCTAAACCCTGAATTAAGATAATTTCTGTATTCATATTTTCACTTGGAATTAGCATAGGAAGCCATCAGGAAGAGAATTACCCTGAGAAGACATATCTCAGCAAATTCACTATGAAATGAAAGAAGGAAAATAAGTATGTGTATGTGTACGTGTTGGTTTAAAATGGGTAAAAAAGATGAAAATCTATTGATTAATCAAAATATATTCTCAGCTGCTAATGAGTCTTCCCACATGTGGTCACAAAACTGTCAGGTTTGAGCAGGAGAACCACATTTGTATATAAGTTTTGCTTTAAAAATCATCTTTTATTGCAGGAGCTATATCCTATAACTTTAGGAAATAATTCCATCCAAGACAAGTAGCTGGCCACCCTAGCTTTGCAGGAAGCACCATGGGTATCAGACCCAGTCAGACCTGCTAGGTGAGAGCACTCTGGGCACCATGAGAGAAGCTCACTTTGAGCAAGATGAAGGACAGAGACGCAGGCCCACAGACCAGGCCAGCCCTGCCACCGTCACGTCTCACTCCCACCCTTCCATCACTGCACCAAGCACATTCATACTAGTGCACAGGAGAAAGCCAGAACCTGACAAATACACTTTATCACCACAACCAGAACCGTATTCTGTGGACCAAGTCTCTGAAAAGAAAGGTTTTTCCTGCCAACTACTCTCCCATAAATATAACTTCTTCAAAAGCTGGAAACTGGGAAGGAGATGGGGAGAACCCTACACACAGCCATGGAGCTGGAAGAGTATTCTCCTGCATGGCTGAGTTACAAGAAGAATCCCAAGTAGAAAAACAAGGGACAACAGCCAGACGAAGCAGCGCACCACTGAGGGAAGTAGCTACAAATAAAGAAGTGTTACAAAGACCCTTTTGCTTATGTCTTTATATTTTGGAAGTGAACAGTATGCAAATTATTTCATAACAGCTAAAATGGCCCTCACTAGGCCCTTTTTCTCTCAGTCAGTACTAGGAAGAAAAAAAGGAAATAGGTTAAAAAAATCACTGGGGAGCAACAGGGAAAGTGTAGGGAGAAGATGAAATATAGCTAGTATACAGTTTGGCAGAAGATCCTGGGCACAGGGGACACTCACCACTTTCCTCTTCAGAGCCCCTGGAGACAACTGGGAAAGGAGTCCAATGAGCAATCAGATGGCTGACAGCCAAATTAGTGATAAATAACTGGCTACCTTCCTTATCTTAACTCTTCCGCTTCCCCATGTTCTCCAAATTTCACTTCCTCTCAGGTTGTGCATATATGTAAGCATACAAAATAATTCAAACACCTTGTTCATACAGACTTTTAATTTACATGGCAGCGTTTTGCAGATGTAATTACTCCCTTTCTAAAAGGATTAGAATTCTCGGTCAATGACGCCCATGGAGAACTTCCAGGCAATATAACTATATTTCTGCTTCTCCACTTCAGCAGCTCTTCACACTCTGTATCCCTTTGCACCTAAACACATGGTCTACATAGCAATCATCCCTGGGACTCTACACAGTTGATTCCACATCTGTTTCACAGATGTT